ACCACACTGAAGGTCCTAAATAATATTCTGTTGATTTACATTTCTAATCTTACTGAGAAGAACAGATTTTTTTCCACACTAAAGTTGCTTGATAAGAAGATAATAGATGTCTGATGTACTGTACAGAGTATGCAACAAAGGCAGAGACAGAGACATGTTGAAGCAGGAAAGCTGAGAAACTGAGAAATACGGGTCCATCTGTTAATTTGCTCTGAAATAGCTTGAAAGAGGACCAAATAATGACAAATATGTGAGCTGAAAAAATGAGAAAATTGGCAAGGCTCTTTCTGTTTTAATCATGGCAGAATCAGATCAGGAGCCAGATTCAGGTTTTGAAAATCAGGGTATATCCTAGTGGTAATGACTCATTACTATGATTCACAAACTGCAGAAAATGAAGAAGTACTGGGACACAGATGGTTCCAAGGCTCTCAGCAAAACCACAAAAGAATTTAAATAAAACCAACAACTAAGCAATGCTTTCTTTAAGAAAGTGCCAATGGGTAACAAAATTAGTAGAATTTGAACATAAAAAGTAGCCTCAATTTTTCAGTCTTCCACCAAGCATTCAGAAGAGCAAATGAACACAATAGTGCTAATATGATACATGGGAGTATGGAAGTAAGCTAGCAAAACTGAATGCTTGCCAACTTCCTAGATATGATTCCAGGAGTGGGATCTTTGACAGGTCACCAAGTGGAACTGAAGAGGGACAGCCATGAAGACAAACTAATTCCTTCTTTTTCTCTTATTTCAGCCCTTATTCAGTCCTTATTCTTCTGTGTGACATAGCTGGTGACAGAAAAGGGCTCCTGCTGGTAAAATACTACATTGATGTTAACTATCAACCTTCTCTGTTAATCACGGGGATATTTTAAAGCTCAGAGACACCTATAATCATGACAAGATGGGAGATTTAAAACTAACCTATTTGAAAGAAAAACAATAACTACTCTTAAGAAAGTGTCAGTTTTCTAGAAAAGCACATTTTTTTTGTTTTTATGACAGTAGATAACAAATGACTGACACACACACACACACACACACACACACACACACTTTGTTTTTCCCCTTCTGTCAGGGACCTGGGTACTGGCCCTCAGCTCTTCAGCTCAAGGCAAGTGTTCTATCTACCACTTGAGCTACAGTGCCACTTCTGGTTTTCTGGTGGTTAATTGGAGATAAGAGTCTCACAGACTTTCCTGCCCAGGCTGACTTTGAACTGCGATCCTCAGATCTCAGCCTCCTGAGTAGCTAGGATTATAGGCGTGAGCCACCAGTACCTGGCTATGACTTATGATTTATACAAATATCTTTTTCACAAAGTTCCTTCTTTCATAAAACATATAATTTCTTTCTTTCTTTTTTTGGTCGGTCGTGGGGCTTGAACTCTGGGCGCTATCCGTCAGCTGTTCAGCTCAAGACGAGCAAACTACTGAAAAAACATAATTTCTAGAGTGAAATAATATTACTTTCTTAACACACACAGTATGTTTGGTGAACTACTGGTTTCAATACCTAAATGTGGACCTTCACCAAAAGGTTTTGTAACATTACCCCACAACACTGCAAACTGTACATTTATTTCTTTTTGGTAGTATGAATTTCATTGTTTAGCATTTTATTTAGCAAAAAAGACAAAAAACAGCCTGGAAGTATGGCTCAAGCAGAGTACCTGGCCTGACAAGTTTAATTAAGTGTAAGGCACTAAGTTTAATCTCCAGTATATCCCACTCCTCAAAAAAAGGAAGTTAGTTGATCTATATGGGAAGAGAAATTACATTGAGCAAGAGACATCTCCATTAGCCAACCATGGCTTTGTCAGTCTCAGACTTTAATCCTATAGTCAGTGATCTAAACTTGATATTCATATTTTTTGCGTGTAGGAGTGCTTGCGTGCATTTGTGTGTGTGTCTGTCTCTTGGATTGAGGGCTTAAACTCAGGCTTGCTCAAAGCTAGTGCTTTATCACTTGAGCTGTAGCTCCAATTCTGGCTTTTTTTTTTTTTTTTGTAGTTTATTGGAGATAAGAGTCTCACAGGTTTTCTTACCTGGGCTGGTTCTGAACCACCACCTTAGATCTTAGCTGCCTAAGTAGCTAGGATTATAGGCATGAGACACTGGGGCCTGGCTTTTTTTTTTCTTTTTTTCTTTTTTGGTTATGGGGCTTGAACTCTGGGCCTTGGCGCTGTCCCTTAGCTCTTTAGCTCAAGGCTAGAGCTCTACACTTGAGCACGGTGCCACTTCTGGTTTTCTCCTGGTTTTATTGGAGATAAGAATCTTACCGACTTTCTTGCCCTGGCTGGCTTTGAACCGTGATTCCTAAGTAGCTAGGATTACAGGTGTGAGCCACCGGCGCCCAGCTTTTTTTTCTTTTTAAAGACAGTGTCTTGCATGTAACTCAGGCTTGGCTTTGAGTCTGCTATGTAGCCTAGGCTGGCCTCAAATTCATAATCCTCCTTACTTTCTTGATTTAGCCTCTAGAAGGATGGGATTATGGATGTATACCACATGTCTGGCTCATAAATAATTTTAATATTCTCTTTTATAATTATCATTATACATGTCATATGAAATAGTTCATAAAATGCAGATTTTCTTGATAAAATCAGAGATAAGGTATTAAATCCAAAATATAAGTACCAACATTTATGGTATATAGCATGAAGGAAAAGCATCTATGATCATCAACGCTATCAATAATTTTTTTTTTTTTTTTTGCCAGTCATGGGGCTTGAACTCAGGGTCTAAGCACTGTCCTGCAGCTTCTTTTGCTCAAGGCTAGCATTCTACCCTTGAGCCACAGTGCCACTTCTGTTTTTTTTCTGCTTATGTGATACTGAGGAATTGAACTCAGGACTTCATGCATGCTAGGCAAGCGCTCTGCCACTAAGCCACCTTCCTAGCTCAGCTATCAACAATATTAAATAAACAGGGTCATCTAACTATGATAGAATAAAGACCAACATGAAGATATATTAAATTCTTTATCATAATAGGAGGACAATAACTTTGGCTGAGTCAATGCGGTAGAAGGAAAAATTCAGTTGGTACAGGGATGTTTATTATTAGTGGGATTCCTTAAAATGAGAAGTCATCTTAGAATGATGTTTCAAAAAGCACAATCCTATTAACACCTTTGAAACCTCTAAAATCCTTTAGTAGCTAATTCCTTTAAAACAGTTAAAACAGTCACCTACTATCTGTTAAGATACTTTCTAAGAAAGCCTGTGACCACTGCAAGCATATTTTAGGTTCTAAAAACACTACAAAAAAAGAGAAGACACTATGTATCCTCCAATTCTAGAGCACTAATGCCACAAAATGAAACTTTCTTAAGGTGACAAAGAGCACTTAATTTACAAACAGGTGTCTGAAAACAGAAGAAAGAAAATGAGATATTTTAAAGCAAATGAGTTGCATAAATTATTAAAGAAGGGGATTGATATTGAGAATACATGAATCAAAAGAAAACCAACACAATAGAATAATATTCAAGAGGTAGATCTCAAAATCATGAATGGCTTAGGAAAATATCCAAAAGAGGACTCAAGAGCATTGTGGTGAAGACAAAATACAATGTGGAAGAAAGAGTACATGCGGCTCTCAATGTCAAAGCCAGGTGCTTCAGATTGAGGGCCAAAAGCTGGGTAATCATTGTCAGTCACCAGTAGTGGATGATGATGAACTAACACAGAGGAAAGCTTGGCGACTGTGCCTGGGAGAGTCAAACTGACCCTAAGATGTCCCAAAGCCACTACAGTCTTAAGAATTAAAGATGGCTCAGGTGACCTGTAAGGCCTTACAATATGGGCCTGGTAATCACTGGGGAAACAGTGGTCACTTATTTAAAAGGTCTGTGTTGGGATGATACACCATTATTTCCAAGTGTTCCCTTTGATTTTATATATATGTGTATACATATATACACATATATACATATATATACACATATACATACATATATATATTCCTATAAAGCCATTCTGTATTTTCTTAGTCTTTCCTAAGAAAGAAATAAAATACATTAAGATATAATTTATTTAAGGGTTACAATAAATTTAAGGGTTCATATATTCAAGTCTGAAGAATAAGATCAATCTCATCCTCTTGACCTAGATTTCTTTCATTTCTTTCTCCCCACCCTTATCCCAACCCCCTCTCTCATCTCTGCCAATGTCTCTCTTTCCTATATCAGACTTAGAGCTTGAACTCAGGGTGCTGTATCATAGCTTTTTTACTCAACACTGGGGCTCTAGCATTTGAGCCACACCTCTACCTTGGTGTTGGGAGATAAAAGTCTCACAGACTTTCCTGGTGGGCTGGCTTTGAACCTCAATCCTCACATCTCAGCCTCCTGAGTAGCTCTAGGATTATATACATTGAGCCACTAGTGCCTAGCCTGAATTTCTTTAAAACTACTTTCAAAAGGATTTAAGGCAAATGCTTATTACTGAAGTATAACAAAGCAGTATGGGCATGGGAGAGAGGAAATTCCAGCACATAGAATGAGGGCTTAGAATCCTTTTGGCTTCCTCACTCTGTGGCCACAAACCCGATGAGTCTTCTGTCTGTTCCAACCCACCTGACTTTCCAGTTCTTCTCATTTTATTCCCTCACACGACAGTGTCTCTTTACAAAACAAGTAGACAACAGCTCTTCTTATTTTTACTAGGCTCAACTTCTTCATTTTCTGTCATCTCTTTCTGACTATGAATTAGATTAAATAATTTAAAAACAACAGTGACCAAAAACCTCAGCTAAAACTTTTATCAAAGTTACTTTAAAAATAGAGACAAATTTGCCTCCCTTTGTGTTTGATTTTCCATATAACTGGCCTTTTTTCATCTTGAAGGAAGTAGCATGGAGCTAGATTTGATATGATTAAAAGAATGTCGGAGATAAGAGACAACCCACAATTTAAGTGTGACGTTTTTCTTAATGTTTTTTCAGAAGAGAGAAGGAATTGAAGGACAAGAGGGGGAAAAAAATCACACTTACAAGTCCACTTATGGCTACAATCCATATGTAGGAACCAGAGGTGAAAAGCTAAAAAAGGAAAAAAAAAGATAACTAAAAATAAAATTCAACTGTTAATCATAGTATATGTAATTTTATAAACTATACAGTAATGATCACTTGTATTAAGTATTAATTGGACATGCCTTAATAAAGATTATAAGCAAATATAAAATTAAGTATCAATTCTATTTAAAAGAAAATAATATATATTATTAAATACAATATATATACATATATGTATTTAAGACATTAGACTTTTTATGGTTGAAAACAAATTCGTTGAACTGCTCCCCTCCTACAAAGACAAATAAGTGAAATTCAAATATATTCTTATTTACAAATGGGATTGTCTTAAAGGTAAAAAGCTATAAATAAATAAATTTTTAGAATTAACAAAGTAAAAATATGTGGTCATCATCAATGTTTGGTGTCAATTAGTGCCCTATGATATTTGTTTAACAAGTTTCTCATTTTGATTTCTTATCATTTCTACTCCAAATTTGTTGGCATACAGGTCCATACACAATGATATTCTTCTTTTTTATAGTTGTTCCTGGGTTGTGACCTCAGGTTCTGGGTGCTGTCCCTGAGCTCTTTCACTCAAGGCTAGTGCTCTACCACCTCTAGTTTTCTGGTGGTTAACTGTAGATAAAGAGTCTCATGGACTTTCCTTTCCTAGGCTGGCTTTGAACTGTGATTCTCAGATCTCAGTGTCCTGAGAAGCTAGGATTACAGGTGTGAGCCAGTGGCACCCGACTATTGATATTCTTCTTAATTATTAATATCCTCATTCTAGTTCACTCAAGGAAGAGTGAGCTAATAAAAGCAAAGTTAATTAGTGACTAAGTAATCTGAATAAGATCTGTGACATCTGTTTACTTGTTTTCCACATCATTTACACCTAAAAGTTATGCTCAGGGTTCAAAAAAATCCTAAGATGTTTCAAAGTGTCCCTTGGAGAATGAGATGATATACTGTCTAGTGTTTGCTTATTTTTAGGAGTTTAGATTGAGTTTCAGGACTTAGGACTACAGAGGAAGAAGTACAGTACTGATGAGCAACAGTCCTGGTTTATAGGTAACACTATGCTAACTGGAAACTTCAAAGTTTTGCACATTTAACATGGATGCACAAAAGGAAACAGACACAAAAGGTAAGAGAGGCCAAGGAGGAGGGAAAGGAAGCTGTGGCTGCCACTTTTTACCCAATCTTTCACTGGTGTGAGGTTTGCTTAGTACAAATGACTCTCATAATAACAAGGATGATGATTATACAGACAAATAATTTCTGTAGTTCTCTCTCTCTCTCTGTCCATTGTGGGGCTTGAACTGAGGTCCTGGACACTGTCCTTGAGCTTTTTCACTCAAGGCTAGTACTCTACAGCAGTTTGAGCTACAACTCATCCAGTTTTCTGGTGGTTAACTGGTGAGAAGTCTCACAGACTTTGCTGCCTGGGCTGGTTTTGAACTGTGATCCTCAGATCTCAGCCTCCTGAGTAGCTAGGATTACAAGCTTGAACTACTGGCACCCACATGCAGTTCTCTTAATAACAAAAAGGGAAATAAGCTACATCACTCTCTACTAGCCAGTCATTCCTTTCAAGGCTTTTCACACACAAACCTCCTAAATACTCAATGAGAGATATTCTAGGAACTCTATTTCACTGGTGAGTAGACTGATTGCCTATACAATTTGCCCTGGGCCAAATAACTATGGGAGGTGGAGCTGCACTGCCCACGGACACATGCTCCCCACCCTGCTGTGTCCCATACACATAAAAAAGAACATGGGAGTAAACACTAAATGCTTTTGGCCTCCATGTCCCTCAGCATACTGCACATGTAGTGCAAACTGTGCCAGCTTAGATTTTGAAAGGATGTGAGTTTTCCTCACTGTTAGACTTCTCAAGGACAAGAACCACGCCTTCCACTTCATCTTCCACAGTTCCGAGCCCAGGACATAGCCACCGAATGTGTACATGTTCCCTAACAGGCATTTTGACTCTTCTGGTAATGATTAAAGCTACTCACTCCTCATACACTCACTGTCCCTGACTTCAAGTGGTTGTGATAGGGAGAAAGAAAGGAACAGAAACAGGGCTCAGAGGGGACCAAGGCAGGGAGATGCTGGAAATATTAGCCACACTCACTTCAAGGTGGGGAAAAGCTAGAACTGGTGCTGGATAGGTGAGAAGAACCCTGGATGCCATTCATGCTAAGGACTAGATTTTATCAAGAAGCCAATGAGGCAACTCCACTCCTACCTTCTGATACTGGTTTCTACTTCATGAAGTTATTGGGACTATTAGGACAATATCAAGAATTTATATTACTTTGAGAAACCACTTGTGGTATTTGCAGCTACATTTCTGCCTTTGATCAGAGCTGAGAAGGATCACTAGGTTGTAAAATACTGCTGAAATAGCATTAAATACAAAGGCTCTTGTGAAAGACTAGGCAGTATCTCCTTATCCAATTATATCCCTTTTTCTCCCAAGAGATGAACATTATTACTTACTTTGCTTTGCTGAAAATAATAATACATTAAAGATAAGATCCTATTGAGTTGGATGCTCTCATCTGTTCAGAGTACACTAAAAATGCCCTGTGTTACAATCTCTGGCCCTTAAAATAACACTGTAATGTAGATATTATGATCCTCATTTTACAGGTGGGAAGACTGGAGCTCAGGAAAAGTAGAAAGCAAAACAAATAACTATCAGACTAAGTAACCAAGTTCCCAAATCTACTTGATGTGAAGACTTTCCATATGCTACACTGAATTCCTACTCCCATAATGAATAAAACAACGTCTTCATCCTCTATTATGCTACCTAACTCTAGAGTTGGAACTGGTTAACAAGAGGTTCTGGGGGGCCCTAGGACTTGACCCACATCTAACTCACAGAGAAAGTCAGGTCAGAACTGGAACCTTACCTCATGGTGTGGGGGTTGAGAGATGAGGACTATATAACTTATGAGAAAGGGTTGTAAAGTGGGAAGGAAATACTGGCCTCAGATAAGCCACTGATAAGGCATCAGACTAGAGAAGTGAGAGGAAATAATAAAGGTGAAAAGGGGAGGGAGGAGGGCATTTACAGTGATACTTTTACTTGGTTTATATGTGTGGGATAAGGAATGTTATGAGTATTAATTAGTGGATCAAAGGGCCACGCTACACATTGAGTAATAGGGAGCCATAGAATAAAATCTTACATCAAAAGCTGTGAGTGTAAAAGAATGATAGATAGTAGTGACAGAAAACAGAACATTATATGTGTTTTCTAGCACAGGTCCCAAAAATGTGTCAGGGAGCTTTACATTGAAGATCACTTTTTCAAGTTTGAGTTTAAAATCTGACAGTAAGTCAGATGTCTACACAGCATATCTATTAGCAAATAGTGATGCCATCATGTGGATAAAAACACAGAAGGATAAATGAGCAAAACACATTGGGCTTCTTCAAGCTTTACTTATGATTCAATAAATTAACTTCAACATTAATTTTCCACTTTCCACTGTTCTCTCTTGTTCCCACTTCAAACTACGATTCTTAAAATATACTTACAATTGTGTAATTAAATGAAAACACTTTCCACTGATACAAATTACAGTGAAAGGTCTTATCAGATTTCTAAAGGCTATGAAAGTATTCTAGTACCTTCTACACCTTGATGTTCTTGTTCTATAGCACTTCCTCTGAACATCTGATACAGATCATGAAGCCAAACTCATGGGAAAAAATATTGTTTTCAAGGAGATCAAACAAGAGAAAAACAAAAGAAAAAATAAAAAGAAAGTTAAACAAATGTGAATGTAAAATGTATACTGTACCTGCAGTCCCAAAATATAAATCAATGTCTTGTTTGTGATGGACAACGGGCCCAGAATTTGTGCCACTTGGACTCTTGGTATGGAGCAGTAAAATGGTACAAACAGAGCAAACACAGGTGCCAAGCTATGCAAACAAATAAAGAAAAATCACTGTAGTATGACTGAATTTAAAATACCAATGTAGATGGATATTTGAAGTAATATTAATTATAATTTATTTCAGTCTGAATGCAATGTCTTAGATATACAAGTAAGTTTTCAAACATGCATCATGTGCAAAATAACTCATAAGTATATATGTGTCTATATATATATATATGAATAGTTGATCGAAAGTCCACCTATTTTTGACCCTTCCCAAGCCATTGCAGAGAACTGTTTCAACTACTAATTAATAGTGAAGCATTGTGAGAAAATGTAAAATGGATGCTATGTTTAATTTTCAAGAATGACTTCAAATCTAATGTCAGACAGAGGCAAACCAGAAGCAACAAATGTTAAGAGTTCTTCATGGTCAAATCTCGAAGTCTTTAGCCCCTGACCAGTCTATCACCACAATGGACACCGATCTCCCTTCATTACATTCCTTCCTCCTTTTGTCTTGAACTCTTTTTCTTGCTGGTTCCCATCAACAGCTCACACCACTTTCCTACTTCTTTCTTTTTTGGAATGGGGTAGGGACTCCTTTACAGTTTCTTTTTCTTCTTGCTCTTTAGCTTCTCTTTGGATAATGTCAATCCCTTCTATGGCTTTAACTAGAAAAATGAAATAAGTCCTAATAGTATCTGCCTGCCAGCCTCTCTTCCTGACTCCAAAACTCGACTTGATGCTTTCAACAGGACTTACTCAGAAGTCACATAAGTCCTTTTAGCATTTTCGCTTCTTTCTAAGTTGATCTCCTAACGGTTACCTGTATTCTCTATAACAAGGTATCTTCCCTGCTTGGTTCCAGGCCCTGTGCTAGTAGACAGCTGACTGACTATCTCATTCAATCACAGGACCATTTCTTCCACAGGTTCAAAGGTAAAATTTAAATATGACTAGAAAGTAGCAAAAACCTACACCATTTTATAATTGTCTTCCTCTCTCTTTCTGAATCTAGTTCATCATACACAAAGTATTCTCTCACTAACTCTCTCTTCTTCTTCCTAATATCTCTGTGTCATTGTCTGTCCCTCCCTCCCGGTCTGTCTGTCTCTTTCACCTGCCCTCCACTTTTATGCTCCTTTATACACAGACATGTGTTATTTTCCCAACATAAAACATTCCTCCTTTTCCTTCATGGCAGTGCTCAACTCTCCTCTGAGATGTATTAGTCAAAACTGGATACACAGAAGTGTGAAAAATACAACTAACTTTCAGAATGGGAGCATGGCAGGAATGGGGATGACTACTGTGCTAATCAGTGATTGATTCTTCATGTGTCCATCCTCTTCTCTGAACACACAAAACAGCTTAAAAGAAATGGAGTGCAGCAGATCCACTGCCTTAGCTTCAGCATCAGCACAACAGTTGGCACAACTTAGGAGTTCACTCAACAATCATGGGATCTATTTTGCATTTTGATGCAGGGTCTTACCATTTAGCTACTGCTGGCCTATAAATCATGATCCTCCTGCCTTAGCTTCCTGGTACAGGTGTGTACCTCCATGCCCAGCCATGACTCACATTTTAATTAACTCTATGAAAGTTTCCAGAACTCCAATAAGATTATTAATAAGGAAAGCACTTAAGATATACCCATCTTTAGCATTCCTTAGTGCCTAAGGAAGACTCTTTCACATAATCCATACTCCATATGTGTTAGATTAAAAAAAAAACTAACAGTAGTTTCTATGTACTATACAAGAGAGCTCATTTTTTCCAACTCTAAACCCAAACACAGTTGATTAAACAGCTGTGTTTCTTTTTATTGAAAAGCACAAGTTAGCTTAAAATCCTCCAATGACTTCCTGCCTCAGAGGTCAAAGTCATTATAAAGATTACAAGGCCTGAACCCATCATCCTCAACCTGCTTGTCCCCTGTAGAATAGCACCTTATCAGAGCAGTCTTACCCTGACCACTCCTCACATGTTTACATATACATATATACATACCAACACAGACATACACAAAACACATCTACTCCACAGCCCCAACCCACTCAATATTCTGTCTCCCTTATTGCCCATCTTTCTCCATACCATCAATCATCTTCTAATTTATCTCATGATTCATTTGTTAGTCATCTCTTTCCCCAGGTAGAATAAAAAGTGAATGATGTGGATTTAGGTATATTTTATATGTTATCATATCTTCACTCCAGAAGTGGCATAGATTAGGTAAGTGGTCAATAAATACTTGCAGCACAAATGAACTGTCCTTTAAAATGCTGGATTCAAACAATAGAGTTTGTCTTTTGTTTTTAAAGTTCCTTTTTTTGTTCTATGGTTTTAAAGTACGATTAGCAAATAGTGTTCCACAGATACTCAAAATAGGACCCGGTGAACTATTGGTAATAATAAAACCCTGCTTTGGTTAGCCAGTTGCTATAGAGCTGCTTTTCCATAGAATACAAATTGAGGTTCTTAATTCACAGCAGTTCTTCTGTCTACATTTATCAATAATATACAAAAAGTGATGTCATTCTTAATAACCTGAGACAGAGTTCTTACTTGAAGTTATATTTCAACATAAATTCAAAAAATGAGAACAAGAATTTGTATGGCCACAGAAATTTTACATCTTCTACATCATTAGAAGTTTAAAAGTTCCTTAAAAGTTATTCATCAGTATATAACTGTACATGATGACTAAATAGCAGACCACATATACACATAATGCAAAAGCACACATTTTAGACCAGAAATATCTGGGGTGTTTTATAGAAATTTTGTTACTATTTCTATACACACAGACTGCACCAAAACACAATGGTATTAGTCAATGACTAATGACTCTTTTCCTTATATTATGGCAACATTTCTTCTTCCTATGGCCAATGATAATCAGTTTGACCTTTGTCTTACAGTAAATAGCTAACTTCTGAAAGTCTATCTTAAGCAAAAAAGAAAAAAATAAAAGTTATAGAGTCCATTCATATTTTAACTAAGATCATTTCTAGTTTTCAGTGCCTATTATTATTATTATTGGTCAGTCATGGGGTTTGAATTCTGGACACTATCCCAGAGCTCTTCAGCTCAAGGCTAGCACTCTACCACTTTTAGTTTTCTGGTAGTAAACTGAAGATAAGAATTTCAGACTTTCCTGCCTGGGCTGGCTTGAACCACCATCCTCATATCTTAGCCTCCTGAGTAGCTAGGATTACAGGCATGAGCCACTAGTGCCTGGCAAGTGCCTATTATGTTCTCATGATATATTTGACAGAACAAATAATGGAAATGCTTGACCACAAGTCCATCTCACTTTTTTGACAGTAAAGGGCAATTACTGCACTTTCATAATACAATTACAACAGAAGAAATGTTTGTGCACCATGAAACTAACTCACATAAAACTTCAACAGTACTTGCAAGTCTCCTCATCTTCTTTATATACATGACTACTTTATACAGAAAAAAAGATTAGAATAGAGGCCAGACAGAATAGAGGCTTTAACAATATGAGTCTTGCATTATACAGCAATGCTTTACTTAATAATAACTATAACTAGAAGAAAAAGCAATAGTTTGGCCTTTTGAGAAGCTGAAAATCTTTCAATACCATTAGTTTATGATTTTGTTGGTTTGTTTGAAGTGTTGGGCTTGAACTGCAGACCTTCTGCATGCTAGACCAGTGTTCTCTACTCTGAGCTACAGTCCTCAATGCCATGTTTACCTACCAAAATCATAAAATCTTTGTATTTTCCCTTCATAGAATTATTGTACCAGGAATTACCCTAGAGAGCATTTAGTTCAATACCTTATTTTTCAGACAGTAGAGGAGAGACCCCAAGACTTCAGCTGGTTTGTGCTCCCGTTTGACAGGTTCCTTCTGTAGCTCCTCAGCACTTTAGAGCTTAGTAACACCCTGAGGATAAATCCACAAGGCCAATTTTACAGAATTCTGGAGCAAAAGGCTTCTGGGGTCATAGAGCTACAAATTCCTTATCAAGTGATTCATTCTTTGGTCATTCAAAAATCATCAAACAACTTACACAGCATCTCAATAAGAAATAGCATATTCTACTTAAAAATTCTACCACCCCCCTTTTTTGTTTGTTTGGTTTGAAATAAGTTCTTGCTGTAGTATGTAATAGCCCAGGCTGACCTTGAACTAATGAAAAACCTGTTTCTGGAATATTGGGGTTATAGGTATGCACTACTATGCCTGCCTCATTAATTTCAACTTTTGAGGATTTTCATCTTTTAGGCTGAAAGTTTTCTCTATAACTTCTTCTTACTTCCAGACGCTTGACGGAAATTATCACATACCTACAAAGCCTCAGCATATGCAATCTCTCTCATAAGATCAGCTCTCCAGGTTCCTTACCACTCCAGGCACAGCCTAAGGCTTCGACACCAGCTTAAAATGCAACAGTCAGAACGGACTAATAAAGGCCAGATCAGTACTGGGTAAGAGCAAATATCACCTCTTATTCTAAGCACTATATTTATAGTAATTTTCCCTACAAACAAATTGCATTTGGCCATATTACACTGTGGGCTTAAACTGAATCAACTAAAGCCATGAGGTGAGCAGCGAGACTCTTATTCTGTATGCAAGAGGCTGGACTTAATCTATAATTGTTCCCTTCAGCCACCCTCACCATTGTCCTGTCCACACAGTACTGATTCAGTCATCTGGTCTCTGCCTGAAAGCAACAACTAACCTGGGTCTCCTGACAAGGACTGCTCTGCTCCCACTCACCACAGAAACCCATTTCTTTATCTGATGACAAGATTTAGAGAGCATGCTTGATACTAAGTTTCCAGGCAGAGGGTATTGTCAAAGTTGACATACTTTTCTTTAAAACATTTTAAAATCCAAGCTTTTAAGCAGAATATTAATATAAAACTGTCAGTAACGTATGATTCTTTGTTTTTATGCCTGATGTTTATTTTTTATGCTTAAATCTTTATAGAAAAATTGCAGAATATCAATATAAAACTGTCAGTAACGTATGATTCTTTGTTTTTATGCCTGAGGTTTATTTTTTATGCTTAAATCTTTATAGAAAAATTTATAAAGTTCCATAGATATCAACAATTCATAAATTCCAAGGGGCTTTTGGATAGCTGTCTTTAAAAAAGAAAAAAGGTTAGTATCAGAAAAAAATCTCACTTCCCATTTCAAAAAAAGTACACACACGCATATGTGAAGCTAACTGATTAGTACTCTTGCCCTGTCACAGGGTGACAGGAAAAAAAGCGCCACCATAAAAGGATGTCAGCACAGTCTCTTAAAGCAACATGCCACACTTAACTTGCTTCAGTTTGGGCAAATACTGACTGCTGCTACAGAGGCCCTCAGAAGCCGCTGGTGTGTAAGTACTAGACACTTTGCTTTTTCAGTAAATTCTTTTAAGAAAAGCTTTGAGAGCTTAAGTTTAAAGGTAAAAGATAAAGGAAAAGAATTGACTAGATGACCAGCTATAAATATACTTAACAAAAATTACATAAATATACTTTGGATCCTCTTGATTATTGGCAATTTTAATTAGCTACTGTTAAGTCAGGTGAAAACCACGATGGGTCATGGCAGAAAAATTACTGCCAAAAATTGGACTCCCTTTTTGTACTCTTTTTGAGTAAATTTAGAATGACAAAAACAAGAATAAATTTAGGAAATCAAGAATAAATTAAAAAAATAAAAATTAAGAATAAATTAGCAAAAAAAGTCAATACTTTAATCTGAAGGGATAGGAAGGTTTCTTAAAACAGACTATTCATAAATGGGAACGTATTTTATATGCATAATTCAAAATAAGTAATTACATTTCACTGACTATGTATCTATGTACTAGAATCTTTTCTATACTTAAGATTATTTCTCAGGATGGAATGCCAGTAATAGAATTCCTGAGGCAAAGGGTATATTTTGAAAATCTCTAGTAAATAGTATTTTTAGTTTACAAAAACTGATTTTATTAATTTACTCCCCCACCTAACAGAGTATGTGTCTGAGCTTTGTCATATCTCAGAAGTTAAGATAACTTTGATATAGCAACCATTTGGATAAATAAAAAAATAATCTGTTGTTTAGTTTGTATTTATTTGATTATCAGTAAAGCTAAACAAAATTCTGTGTGCTTCCTACAGCTTCTTTTCTAAAAAGAAAACAATTCTCAAACAGAAAATTATATGCAGTGATTTGTTAGAATTTATATCCGGGTTGAAATGGAGGTAATAGATATTATAAGCCATGAGGAGATTTCCTCTAAAAAAGGGCGTAGGGTTCGGCTATTGTTTGGATAAGTATTATCGTTATTTGCTGTCCCTCAGTATACCAGAGAACTGATCTCATCCCCATGAGACTTGAACCATTATTTACAAGGTGTTCAGTCTCGTGCAAATTGCTGCACATCTCTGGCTTTGGTTGTTTCTTTGTAAATGGGGACAAATATTTCTGCCAAGTCCTGTGACACTGCTCTCACAGTAAGTGCTAATTGTTATCTACCATACTCCCATCCCACCATTCATCTGCTGAGGGTGAAGCCAACAGGCAGTTTCTGTACCCCTATCATTATTTCTCCTTATTTGAAGATTATTCTTTTCTGGAGTATTTTACATAAAGATCTGGGTCTGTGGGTGGTGGGACATCTACACTTTCTTTCACAGCATGTTTCTCTCTGAGGTTTAATTGTTCTTTTTGAACCCAAAACTGCAAGAGCACATGGTTCCTTGAAGCATTTTCACTCACAAATTCATATGTTACGTGGGTGGCTGTGGTGAAAATTCCTTCTTTAAGTTGCCTCTGGCAGGCTGCCTTGAGTGTATCTGTACAGCAGCCAGTTAGTTAGTGGAATAAACACTAATTCAGCCATGAGGAGCCTTATGGATCACACCTAGTACAGGTCAGATGGGAGTAAAACGTTAAGAGACAAAGTTGTTGTCTTTTAGCATGCTGCCATCTAGAAGGGCCTTTGCCACCTAATAAATGGAGAGTTTCCAGGGAGACTTTGCTCTGGCATGGTGAGGCCCTAGAGGGTGGCATGGGCCAAGGCCAGGCAGTGTCTTCCCAAGAAGTCTGCACAACCCTCAGCTCCCAGGCAAGAGGAGATAATGTGTGAACATTGTGTGCACACTTAGGAGGAATTTAAATTCTTATGAAGCTTGAGGCTCATTGAGAATTTTTTTTTAAATCTTGTTAATTATATGAAGTTACCCAAAAGCAGTATGAAAATAACTGAACAGCATAAAAGCTGTATCAGGTATTCATCTAATTCCTTCTACTGAAATTGTATTAAATACTGTTAAAAGGAGTACGTTCTAAACTCATTTCTGAAATCTATCATTACTTTCAAATATGCTATGAAGTAATAGATGAATTTATCTGGCTGAACGGTCGCTTACCACCTAGGCCACGCCTCCAGCTTCTCTTACTTTAGGCTATTTTTCAGATAGGGGTCATGTTTTACCTTGGCCAGCCCTGGGACTACAATCTTCCTACTTATGCCGCCCAAACAGCTGGGACAACAGATGTGAACTACACACCACTGCTGTTTGTTGAGACGGAGGGTCTGTTTTCTCCAGGCTTGCCTTGAACTGTAATCCTTCTGATCTCTACCTTTCAACCTGCTGGGATTATAGGCATGATCCACTGCCCAGCCCAAAGGCCTTCATTTAAATCCACCTATCTCCTTCTTTCCCTAACCCTTCTCAACTTTCTTGTTAAAAAAAAAAAATGAGTTGATCTATGTTAAGGTTTTGAGATGCTTTCCTACTCCACTGGTTGTCTATCCATTCGATCAGATCATGCTGGAAATAGAAGTAGGGGCAAAACACACCATACTAAATGTCATTTCTGGAGTCAAAAGGCTAGGGTTTTGAACCCTGACACTTTACAGGCATGTTAAGGCCAGTCACTTGAGGGATCTGTGCCTCAGTTCCACCATCTGTAAATGGACTGCTGGAAGAGCACAGGTAGGATGCTCAGACAGTGGTTGGAACACACATGCTGCACTAAATAGTACAAGTCACCTATTCATCAAGGGCTTTCCTATGTCTAACACAAAATCTTTCAATGAGGATCACATGGGCTGATATTTGGCTACTCCTTTACTAATGCACATCTACTGACTATCAATTCTCAGTCATCTCCACCTCAGTACAGAAGCACAGTGACCTCAACAACATGGTTTCCCATGCTCCCCAGCAAACAGCCCATCCTGCCTTCCTGGGGCAGGGTAGAGGAGAAAGCAGGAGAGTGGAGACCAGGAAAGTTTTCAGAGCATCTGGTTTCCAAGAAAGTTTTAATGGAATGAAGGAGCTAAGAATGCAAAACAGGGGCAAGGAGAGAAGAGTGTTAATGGGCACAGATGTGTGAAGAAATACACAACTCCAAAGATTACACAGTTTAATATGGCTGGATCCTGGGTATGAGGGAGAAGCTGTCCAGCAAGCAAAATGAAAAAGGAGCAAAGCCCACTACCAAGCAAGGAAGCTGTGGTCAAAAGCTTTCATTTTGCCAGGGCCAATGGACACCAGCTGCAGGGCTCTGAAGGTACTGCTATGGCTCCTGAAAAGAGAAGGGAGGGAGAAATGCAAGGAAGGAAGCAGTCAGGCAAGGCACTGGGAGCAGACAGAGAGACAATGCAGAAGTAAGCACAGGATTGAGAAGGCTAGAGGCCTAGGCCAGCTAACTGAAGAATGAAGCCCTGGCCACTGTATGAACCCTCACTTGGAGCCTGCTGGGCAAATGTCTGAATTCACCTGGAATTCACTTTACCTGAAAACAAGGAGATTTAATGTTCCTATTTTCAATGAGATAACAGATCAAACTGGAAACTCCCTTGAACTTCAATGAGAAAAGGTCATATTATTTCTAGGGACATTTAGATTCAGTGAGGAGACTCACACCTATAAAAGCCTTTTCTGTTATACAGTTAATGCTCCTGACACAGGATCCTACAAAGTATGCCACATGGAAATACAGTATCTGTCTTCTTTATTCGGTAATGAGCATCACAGTGGGGTTGTTAAAAATTTCGAACAGTTCTTCTACACTACATCATCTTCATGTCTGATAACTTTCAGACCTTCCTAGTCAGTATTAAACCTGCCCCAAAGCCACACAAGGAATAACCAGAAAAGAAGGAAGAAAAAATAGCTAGAATATGTACAATCTTAAATGTGCAGGTGTTTAACCAAATAATCTCACTCCATGGCAACTTTCACTTTCTATCAATTCCAATGGGCAGTGTGTGCTGTTGAAGCTGGTCTTCACTGAGTGCCCACTGGGGTCAAGACACTGGAAGAGGCAAAGGACAAACTGCAGTCTAGTGAACACTTCTTTGTTCTATCTTCAAAGAGTTCTCTGTCCTGTCAACTGCTCTTCCATAGACTACTGCAGGATGTTTTAAATCAGCTCTCATAGGGTCAGCAGCAGTGTCACCGACTAATGACACCTTGGGAAGGCTGCTTATTTCGCCCCCTCAGTTTATCACATTTCCTTCCACAAACCAGAGAAAACAAGCTCCCCTCAGACAGGATGACCAACGTTGGCTCCACTAAGAATTACACACACTCTGCTACAGGTGGTTTTCTAGGAGGACATAGATCAGTGAGAAAATGTTGAAGGACAGACTATCAATTTAGGACTCAAAGATGGTCATGCAGGAAAAACAACATACTATAGTATACACAGATTTATTTAACTAGGTCATGGGTCAGATACTATTAGTAAATTAGTGGCACTAGAACAGACAATCTAACCTTACCATGAAGTGACAGGGGGCTGCACTGTGCAGTCATAATCAGGAATTCATGTTCCCATCTCCCATTTTATGGGCCAACAGCACATCCTGCATCTTGGGGACAACTGTTTAGTCAACTCAATGGAGGTGACCACAATCATTGATCAAATGCTAGGACTTGGTTTGTGTGACACTGGACCAAACTCGGATGTCCCATTTGAACAAGAAAAAGGAAGCCTTTTATAAATGTTTGACAAATGCTTACAAACTTTGGTAATCAGAGGAAATGTAATGATTTCTTCCTTCCATGGGGCATGTTTGTTGTCAAGGGAACCAAAAACAGCTTCAACTACTGTCTGGATACATCCGTGTTGATCTGCATTTCCTTAGTAAGACTCTAACCTAACCACCATAGTTTTATGCCTCCATTCCCCTCCCTTCACAATGACTTCATTTCTCCTCATTTTCCCTCAATCCTACCTTTCTTCAAGAAAATAGCCACAGGACAAGTAAACAGGGAAAGAATAGAGTCCAACAACATTCATAACTTCACAAAAATACTATAATTGTTATATCTATGTGCACATACTTTGGTGGCTCCACTAGTTATTTCTGAAAACATGCTCTTG